ACTTCTGTCCGGAATTCTTCCTGAAATGCTCTAATCAAAATTACTACTCAGATGCTACAGCTATCCTAGTCTATTTAAGGGTCTACATACTTTCGGCCACGGTCGGAGATATTCAGTCAGTCAAAGCAACGGCTTGCCATCCTAAAAAGATAAATAATCCGTTTCTGTCGCCTTGTCTTTAGAGGTATCCCTTTCCCGCCCTCGATACCGCCTATCTGCTGTTGTCTGGAGAGAGAGAGAGAGGCGGAAATGTCAAATAACTCATTCGACTGCCTGTTTAGTGCACGCCGCAAAAACCAGCTGATAAAGTGGCCAATCAAATTTCGCAGAGATTCCAGGATGCTGGATTCATGGGAAGGCAGCTGCCACGCGCAAAGGAAACCTACACCCGGAAGACAAAAGAAACACCATCGGTTAGAGTTGGAGGTTCGTGTGGTGGAAATTATGCCAATATATCGGAGATTACGATAAGAAATGTATATAAGGAAATGAGTACGAGGATAGGGAGAGAGAGAGCAGTCACGTGTAAGTTTGCGCCAGCAGAACTGGCCCGTTAACTAGTATGAAAGACTGTTCATAAGGAGAAATACATTTGTAGGGGGGGGAGGAAGGGGGCCAGCAGAAGGAGCGAGTGCGGTGCAGAAAAAATGTAAAATGCAAACAGGAAGTTCGACAAAACGGAAAAAAAGAAAGGGAGAGAAGGGGAGTAGAACAGTAATCACGGGACGAATACTGGCTTCGGATAAAAGTGGATTTCCTTTTCTTAGCCGCACCCAGGAACGTATTCTAAAATTTAAAAATAGCATGTTTACACACGCATCACGAATTCAAAAAATCAAACTGGGCTGCATGGGTCGCTGAGAGTGCCACCCGCCAAGTGTTTTCAGGTATCCCTTTCAAATGTTTTCTGAAATCAGGCGAGTTAGGGAGTCTTGGAAAACTGGCCAATTATTGGAAAATTCAGAAGGGTAGTTGGCGAGCATACTTACGTAGGAGCATACACATGCTTGCAAACTACTCTTCTGAATGCTCTGATGGTAATTTTCGCAACTACCGAAAAATTATGAAGGGTTTGATAGAACACGGTGTCGTTGAGTTATGAGAGAAAAAAATTTGACTGAGTGCGTGCGCTTTCGGGAGACAAGTGAATTAAAGCCCTCAATTTAAAAACCTAAGAGTTAACAAAGACGCCCCAAGTCGGTCTCCCAGCAATTAGTTCATTAGAGCTGCCAGTGGATGCAACACTTCGAAATTTTGAAATGTTCAAGGTGAGACAGTGGGAAGGGAACCCCGTCCCACACAGGTAGTACAGGCAGACTTGCACCCAACTCCAAGGGTACAAATTCCTGTGTTCCAACCTTAACTGAACCCAAACCTTCACACTCACTCTAAACTGTTAGCAGCCAGCCTAACCGATTCGCTCGCACGCTGTCCTGACGACTGGCGTCTACGCCACATCACCGGTCTGCCTGCATACAGTGCACAGTACAGAGGATGTGCAAGCTGCGCCGGGACTAGCACTCAACCACGCCAGTTGGATGAGTTAGAAGGCCAGTCCAGCC